TGTGTAATTGAATATATATAATTGTGTATATTGCCAACTAGGATTTACATATAGTTTTTGTATATACTTGCATAATGTGAAAGGATAGTGTGTATTGCATTTTGGCCTACATTATGTTTTCAAGTTGTTATTGTGGTATAGGGTTGAAATGCTAATGCAAGTATACATTAACTAGTATTAGACTTGGTTAAGTTGTAAAATGGCCAAGATAATTTAATGCCACAAGTACTCAACTCTATTTCGATTGAGGTTATAGGGTTTGATTGGCCAAATCCAATTTGAATTTTGTGATTGCTTGTATATATGTTCAATCAAGAGTTTGTTGGTCAATTGGATGTGGTTCATATAATATCGTAAAATTTTAGGACTTGAATTTAAGAATTTTATAGGATAGTCTTATCACATGGACTAGCTTATTGTGTAATAGTCTACAATTTCATGTCAGAAGCATAAGGAAGATATAATGGAGATATGATTATGTATATTATTATTAAGGACATATGATTATATATATTGTTGACCCTTATGATGTAACTATGTAAAATTCTATTATTGTCAAAATAAATGTGAAAATGAATCTTACAAGTGATAATTTAATACAAATATGAAAATGTTATGCCACTTGTATCTTGAAATTAACTGATATGCATTAGTATAGGTTAGATGCAACTTAGATATATAATGGTTGTACTCATCTTTTTTTCTTTAATATTACAGGTGCTAGCTCATCATGTCAAGACACAGAGAAATTACTTAAGGCATAGGACCTATTGTCCTATCTTTTGAATATTTATGTGTATGAATTTAATGATTTTTACCAGCTAAGAGTTGCATTATTTTGATTACTTGCACTATATGATGATTTGAGATAAATTGTGTATTTTAAACTTTAGGTTGTATGTATGATGAATATTGATATTTAAATTAGGCTAACATACTAGTGCAAGTATAGTATTAATGATATTATTGATTGTAAAGGAGAATGGTTGAAATTCATAGAGTTTGGGTCTTCCTTGTATTTTATGATTAAAGAGTTGATCATTGAAATTGTGAATTATGTGTTGTTAAATTGTCGTGGTGTGTTGCATAGGTTCTTTCTAGCTTATAAAGTGTGATCTAAAGGCTTTTTGTGAGCTTTTGGTACTTGAAAATGAAATTGGACACCCTGGATATGTTTTTGAGTTTATAGAAGTGTTTGTAAATAGGTGTCTAACTTTTTAATGAGAAATAATATGTAAGAGAGACTGGTGCCATTTGTTAGAGCTCAGAGAAAACTTTTTGTTGACATCTAGATCACTTCAATTAGACATCAAATAAACAAAGGGATCAAGTTGAAAGTTTACCCTAGGAGCTATCATTTGACAGCACCTAAGTTGTCATGATTTATGCCGTGCACCATAATATGGAGTTTGCTACGGCGCACAAAGAGTATGTTGCGGCATACCCCCTAGTTTTTACCAAACTCTCACTAATATAATCATGTAATGATTTATGCTCACATATTCACATACATGAATACAAGCTTATTGATTTACATAATAAGTGTTATGAATATTTTCACTTATCATACTACACTTCTATTCTCAATCTCATATCACATTTGCATATTCTTCACTTTACACACATATTACATTCAAATGCTAATACAACAACACAATCATCTCATCGACTTGTTAACTTCTTATTTCAACACATACTTGTATTATACACACATTTCCAATTTAAACTTTACCTTTATAACCAAAATGGGGTACTTAACAATTCACATGTTTTGTACATATTCATATTCATGAAATTCAATCATTCATGTCAATCATTTCATTTTTGAGAACATAAACCAATGAACAAATAACTATACATAAAAGGTTTCCCTTAGTCACCTCAAATCATTGAGTGGTCAAAGGTTTACTCCTATATTAATGCTTTGAAAGCTTGATCTTAAGCTCAAATGGGTGCACAAACAATTAATATACAATTAATCATGTCTAAAACCATTAATACTATCATTTACACCACTTAAACTTTCTTGTTCAACACTTTAATAACCTTAATTTTACTTCCATTCATAAATACTCACATCTATTAGGCCTATTAACTCTTAACAAACTCCCACTAATCTTATTTAACTCAATTAGGATCATTAATGGCTACCATTATTACTCAACCACCATATTTATGGCTCTCTAACTATCATTTTTGTCCATAATGATGAGCCCATGCTCAAGGATGCATAAAACCATCGATATTATATTTAAATAATTTAAACAACTCCTATTAACTCCATTTAAGTCAATGGATTTGGACCCATAGTTTTAAAGGTCTACAAATCACTTTTCATCACAAACCCTAGCTCAAAATCTATAAAGAAAGGAAGATCAAAGCTAAAGAGACTTATCTTGATGTTCTTTAGCTCCAAACTAGTCTTAAAACTTTGAACATTTAAGCTGTAACAGAGAAAATGTTAAACTTCTATATTCTTCCACTTTTTCTCTCCTATTTTTTAAGCTAATACACATCTTGTTTATGTCATATTTCATCCATGCATCGTAGAACATACCATATGCACTACAGTATATGGTATAAAGAGGGTTTGTTTGCATTTTCTAAACTATTATGCCATAGCACATGACGCACACATTGTGACTTTTGGCACAGAGGCATTCTTTTTTGTTTTTCTCCTTTTTTGAGGTCTAGGTGACCTGACTTTACTTTAGATTCGAATATTAGCCTTTTTTTATTACATACCACATAGATTTTACTTAATTATCTTTAATTAGTCTGATTAACAGGATGTTATTTTAAGATGTTACAAAAAAAAAAGTTAAACAAGGACAAAACAGGCCTTTCAAGGATTTTGGTAAACTAGCCATAGCCAAATGCAAGTCCACCATAGCTTGTGGCATAATGACCACTTGCTGCAGCTAATAGCTAGTTCTGTCACTTTTATCCCAAGCAAAACAATCTATTGCGACGCACACTCATAGACAACGCATAATTTTAAAACTCTTGGGGTACCTAATTAACTATTAAGACCTTTAATTAAGGAAATCCAAGCATCCACATGTAGGTAATTAAAATATCTATTTAATGGCTTCCGATTTATCCCATTTTGATATCAAATAAGGATCCTTAAACACTTTGTGCCAAAACAAGAGTTTCTGCTTAAAGCACCAAGATAAAGTGTATCCCCTTTTATGCCATTATCATCCATACTTCACATGCATAAACTACAGTCATCCATAAATCACACCATATATCATGATAATTATGAAACATCTTTGTACAAGAGGCCTTCCTTAAAAAACATGAAGGTCACACCATAAAATGCCCAAGTCTAAGATAAGGGCTACATATAAATGATAAACAATTAACATATTACAATAAATCCTTAAACTGGCAAAATATACATTCAATTACATTATAAGAAGACTAACGTCTTTACAACAACAAGCTTTAGCCCTTGACCTTGGAGGCTTTTCCTTTTCCTTTCACCTTGACATTCGCTGGAAATATGTAATAGATGAGAGTGAGACTATACAGTCTCAATAATTGAGGCACATAAATTTAAGTATACAAAGGTGTGGCAAGTACAAGTATGTATGGCAAGAGATCACAATTAACAATATTTCAATGTTCAGTATATATCATATGACTATTAATCATTAATCAAAAGGCATATGATGCAATGATGATAATTATGCATTACATCTTTATTTCTCTCCTTATATTTACTGATTGAATACATAGGCTATCAAATTATATAAGACCAACTCATGTGATCAAATTGGATTCGCTCCCTAATTCTGGAGGGTTACTCGACCAAAGTAGATGCTTCCCACTCCTAGACCATGGAATTCACCTTCTCTATTAACGGGGTGTTATATTTGCCATGACCCATACTGTTTCTTGTAGGAAATCGATGATCCCAAGCAAACATGCTCGCATGTGTCGTCCTTGAGGCACAATGGATATAAACACACCGTAATCAACTATGCCAATTATTGTGCACAAATATCGATGTTGACTACACTATGTGGATTTTTTGTAATGTCCTAATTGCAAACTCGATTAACTTATTTTATAATCAAGTTCATGCTATCAAATCAAGAATAAATAACCAATATTTAAATTTCATACTAATATCATAAGCTCATGCTCATTGGCATATCATCAACATATACTTTAACAATTTTATTCATGCACAATATCATTCTATCAAGTCATGTATTCATGCTTAGTCCTTATTATCTTGCCATAAACATTCAATCACTTAATCACATATCCACATCTTTATACACTTGCTCATTAATTCACATACCATAATCCATACTTATTAAGATTTTAATATTGACAATGTTATCATCACATCATACTTAATAACCATACAAGCCAAATCAAATCAATCATTCTATTTCATCACCATTAAACTCATAACTATATATCATATAATGCTCAATAATCATTAACAACATACTTGTATATCCACATCATCATTTTCATCACAATCAATAACATTTAACTCCTGATTACAAATGACAATTATTTACAAAAATTTAACTTTTGATTATGTTTGCCCTTGAATTACCACCCCAAGAGTATAATTTAGATTCCAAAGGGGCTTCCTAACAAGCACAATGTGCTCCAAATTAGTCAATTTATAATTAATAATTAACAAATAATATTAATAACTAATTATTCTTAATTAAATTTAACTATAGTTAGAATAAAGGTGAGTTAGTTATAATAATAAAATTATATTAAAAATAAATTACTTTTTAATTTTTCCCTTAGATTTTAAAAAAGAATGATTTGATGTGGGGAAAAGTTTTTTTTAATTAAAATATTACATTTCTTTTCAAATTTTGTTGGAGTGTATTTTTGAAATTGTATTTCAAAGAGATTAATATAAAGTGACTTATATAAAGGATTATTATTAATTTTTTTTAACAGCATGACTTATAAAACTGATGGAAGGGAGTGTGTTATTTTTTTAGTTATTCAGTAAAAGGGCGGAGGGAGGGACGATGGTGCCTGCGTGACCGTGGAAAGGTGCAGCCAAACTTCAAAGTTTTGGTGCCCCGCAGCGTTAGATAAACAGATTAAAGAAGTTCTCCCGTGGCCGTTCAAATGTGAACGCCTTTAACGGCTACTTTCACTCCAAGTCTGCCATCCTCTTTCTGGAATGCAGATCTCCAGACAGCATTGTTCATGCAGGATCTTCGTTCGAGCTAAGGCTGACTACTTCAATTTCAGCTTCAGACTCAGAGCTACCGGTTTTGGACCTAACTGGACCCTCCACCGCTTCTCTTTCATCCTCAGATTCCGCAACTTTTTCGTCTTCAGATTCAATTCACATCTCCCTGCGCAAATTGCTCCTCGATCCCGCCTAGGGCTCATCCGAGCCAGAGCCCTCCACGGGATCCAGAAATTTCAAGCCCGAATCTCCGCGAAGAACCGATCCACTTCTGGCAATACAGGATGGATTGATGAACAGCCAAAGGTTAATGAATTCCCTTTATTATTATATTATAATAATTTGAGATTGAATTTCAAACAAACCACTCGGGTTGAAACGGGGTCTGATTAATTGCAGGATCTGCTACTTAGTGGGATTTGGGGGTTGCTGGCATTCGCGGTTCAAGTTCAACATATTTGGCAAAAATATGGGAAGGGACTGTGTATAATAATGCTCGCTTCCGTGAGCTTTATGGGTGTTTTGTTGATGAAGACTAAGAGAGCAGAGCCCGTGAAAGTAAGAGGCCTTCGCAATTGCATGGTAATAATAGCAGCTTGTTCGCTATTATTTATGCTGGGGAGTTGCTGGGATAGAATGGGAATGTGTGTGGCAAAGCAAGTTTGGGAGTTGATTTCTTGATCTGTGAGTGTGTTATGTTGCCGTTTTGTTTATGTTATTAATATTACTATTCATTCAATTATTCTTTTAATAATTTTTTTAAATCATTCTTTTTTTATATTTTATATGTAAAAATATATAAAAATTTTAGATTTAGTGTAGTGAGATTGAGAAGTGAAAGAGAAATGAAACGAGAGTATTGATTTGTTTGTCAAATGCTCTCAGTCCAATATTTTGCTTATTTTATCAAACTTAACCAGAACCTCTTCGCCTCTAAGCATGGGCTATCATGTGCGTCAACAAGCCTTGGGCTTTCTAACATGGGCCCACATCATATAATCGCTTTAGTGATTAGTTTTTGGTTAGTGTTGCCACGCGCACTGGGCGCGTGGTAGATCCACTAGCTCATGCAGGAGTTAGAAGGAGAAATGAGTTGATGTGGGCCCCGGGTGTTGGGAACGGGAGCTTGTTGGCCGTTAATGTATTCGCCTGTTCAAATCTGACGGAAGAGGAATAGAGTCAAAGACCAATCTTGGTAGGTCTCTTTGACCACAGCGGAAACATGCTTTTTTTAAGAAAATATAAAATTTATAATTTTGACCGGATTGTCACATCAATCGAGGTGTACTTAGTTGAAAATCGACGTGCAATGTCAATTTACTATATTGCTCATCTAATCCTCGTCTTTTTTCTACCAGCCACAGATTTGAAATTCAGGTCCAATATCAACTTCTCAAAACACAATGCATCTTAATCTTAATAATAATAAAATAAAAACTTTGTAGCATTAACAAGTGGCCAATATTAGATTTTGTCTAGTTTGAACTTATTTCTTTTTCAGGAAATGTATCTCTATGCTATTTTTTTTTAAATTAGTGCATCATTTTTCTTTCGTTACACTTATTCACTGAATTGTTAATCCGTGACAAAAGATAAACCTCCAATTTTGGACAGATATTGTTGGCAAGATGACAGTTTGATGATTAAAATGAATCCCTCACTTTAGATTTTGTGAACTTTTTTATTAGAATAACCTTTCAGAAAAATAAAATGAATCAACTAAAGTAGTAAAAGAAAATGAACATGATTTATCCCCTTATTGAATTGAATATTATGTAATTAAGTATAATATGAATAGAATTTGAAACCAAAGCGTGGTTGAGCCACAACTTCAAAATTTTGGCCCAAAAAAAAAAAGGAGGTGGTAAAATAAAAAAAAAAAAGAAGCGGAAGGGCAAAATAGTAAGAAAAATAAAGGAAAGAAGAACTTTCTGTTTGCTGCGTTGGTAATGATATTATTTCTCTATTCACCAATTAAAGGTATGAGTTTCAGTGGTTTGACCACTGCTCGTGGGGGCTACATTTCCTCTTTCAGACCATCTTTCTCTCTCTACATTTTCATTATTGCGCTCTCTACCTCTTTCTCTAAAAAATCATCACTTCTCAGCCTGCCACCCGATTTCTTTGACTTGATAGGGTTTTTCTTCCGCGTAACAAAATCACAAGTTTCAGTCTTCCTCCATTTCGCCTCCTGCTGTTGATTCACAATATTTTGCATGAGCGGCTTCCTCACAGGTTTGTTTCGCTGGAGTTCTTGCTTTCATTTTGTTTCTTCTTATTTGAACTTTTGTAGGGCGTGGAGGTTTTGTTTCTCCGATTTCTCTTCCCTCACTCTTCAAATCTGGCCACTCGTTGTGGTCTGATTTGTTGTCAGTTTTTTTGTTCATTTGCTGCTTTATTTACCGTTTTCTTTTATTTAGCTGATCTTTGGTGCGATGATTTTGTCAGTACGAAGAATTCATTTTGAGCTTGCTGTCTTTTCCATTTTTCCCATTCAATAGTTAATCTTAAAAGAAAGAGATTTTTGTAAAGCTTCTTTCGTATTATGGATCTAAATTTATTTGGCTGCTTGTGGTTGTTTGGAGCTCATAACCATGTTGCATTTGAGTAGTTGGGTTCCTTACTAGAGAACATGTTGCCCGCTTGCATTTTTCTTTGGGAGATTTGCCTGTATGATGGGGAATTTTAAGTAATTTATTATTGTTGTTTTTTTTTTTTTTGCCTGGGAATGTGATTGACACAATTGTAGAAAAGATGCTTACTTAGTGACCGGTCGTTCAGATTTTTTATTGGTGACACTTCCGGTGATTTGCAGTCTATTATTCGGTGACTGATAAATAATTGTTCAAAAAGTGCTGAGGCTCGCTGATAGCAGAGTTCGGCGGTGATGGTAATGGAAAGTGTTAAAAAGTAAAGATGATATAAAGGATACACGATCAAAAGTGTCAATAGCCTTGACATTTTCATCATTCACTTTTCAATTCGCATATCTTGTTATTACTTTGTCCTTTCTTTATGATGGTACAGTATCAATTGTATCACTTATATTGAAGGGAATCAAAATTGCATTACTTCTTCGCATCTAATCTTTCTTCTTAGATGAAATTCCACGCAATCACTTCACCAGAAAACCATATTAAAATTTTCTTTTGAGTTATCTAAATCTTAACATGTTGAGCTTCACAAATTTGAGGAGTGATTTAATGATACATAATTTTGCTGTAAAATTTGCAGTTTTATATAAAGGCCAACCTCTGTGGACAGGATGGGGTGTTTTACAGTCTTGAAGAGTAAGAAGAAGAAATCCGAACAGATCAAGAATGTGAAACGGATTAACCATAAAGAGAACTTACCTGCTGCAGTACTACCTGAACCTCAAACTCATACACGCTCACTGCAGTCTGCACCTCCTAGTTTCAGGACAAGAGTGAAACCTATTCAACCCATTAATAACATCACCTACAGTAGAATACGAGCATTATCTGCCCCATCAACTCTTGATGCGGCTGAACAAGATGCTTTGGCATCTGTCGAGTATGAGGATCAAGATGAGTTAAAACACCGGGCTGGATCAATAAAGGAGCAGCGTTCATCCAGTCCGCAACCTTTACCTCTCCCATGTCCTCAGACTGGTGGTTCATTAAAGGCAACAAGCAGCTTTAAGTCAGCCACAGCTAGTGGTCCTCTCTGTGCTTCTGGTCCTTTGCCACTGCCACGTACCGGCTTACTTCGAAACTTTATGTATGAAGAAATTTCTGCTGCTTGCCACAATTTCTCTTCAGATCGGTGCATGTCAGAAGGTCTTTCTTCCACCATATTTAAAGCTTCTTTTGGTGATGATGTTTCAAGTTCAAAGAAGTTTGAAGCCACTGTCACTCGCCTTCATCCATCAGCTCAGGTACTTGAGTTTCCATACCTTATTGCTTTCATCTCTTGTTATCCTTGTACCTAGAACTTGCTCAGATATTATCCTAGTAGCATATGCTTCTTTACCAAGGGTAGGGGAAATATCAAATATGTCTTGCATCTCATCCAACGCATGAAGTGTCCAATCCTTTTATATGTTATTGGATTTATGAGATGTGTTTCATAAAAGCCTCATATTTTGGTCTGTTTGAATTCATTGAAACGAGTGGCAGAGAGATTATAACAAGCATCCATGCATTGAAGCTTTCTGTTTGGATAGAACTCAACACCTAACCTGCTTTGCTTTTGAGAAGTTGTGTATCAAACTTGTTTTGCTTGCTATGCTCCTTAGTTTTTTTCCCCTTCTGTTAGAACTTAGACTCTTATTTGTGTCCCTGCTTGTCTGAATTTTTTTCGCTTACCCCACTCTGAATTCAAATGTTGAAGGATTTTATTCGTTGTATGGCCAAATGTAATATTGATTATTATAGGCTTGTGCTGAGTGACTTGGGATCTTTCCCTGCGGTGCTCTAAAAGAATTTAAAGCACCTGGGAACTTTCTGAAGTGTTCTTGCTATTTCTGTCTGCTTTCAGGGTTTGAAGGAATTCATAAATGAGGTTAATATTATTGCATCTTTGCAACACCCGAACCTTTGTAAATTGCTTGGTTTTCATGCATGTGAGGGTTCAGAACTGAGAATGTTGGTTTATGAGAGGCTATATCACGGAAGCTTGGATCGCCTTTTGTATGGGAGATCTGATGGCCCGCCTATTGATTGGAATACAAGAATGAAAATTGCTTTATGTGCTGCACAAGGTCTTACTTTCTTGCATGAAGAAGGGCCTTTCCAGGTAATGAACCAGTTATGGCTTTGTTATAAAGTTTTTATTGATCAAGTCAAATCAAAGCTCCTTTACGTGATAATGTTCTTGATTAACCCCATTTTAATGTGGAGCTCAGATCTTTCTTGTTAAAGTTGTTATTTTCATAACAGGCTGTTGTTTGCACCCATTTAACTTTGTTTCTGATAATGTGTTTTGTTTTCAACGTTTGCAGGCAATGTATAATGAATTTTCAACTGCCAATATACAGATTGACAAAGATTTTAGTGCAAAGCTTTCAGGCTATGGTTGTGTTGGACATATTGCTGAGGAAGAGGTTTCGAGCAATTCAACGGTAAGTTATTGACTTCAAAAGCATTCCATGTGTGCCATTCTAATACGTTGAATTAGTGTCTTGCTCAGCTAGTATTTTCTTCTGATTTCAGTGTATGTTCCATTACTTTAGTTCTCATTCATTCTATACTTAATTTTTTAATGTACAGGCTGTTGGAAACCTATCTGTAGAGACACTGGAAAGGGGAATGCTCACTCCAAAGAGCAACGTTTGGAGCTTTGGAATTGTTCTTCTGGAGTTACTGACCGGAAGAAAGAATCTTGACAGCCGTCGCCCAAAAGAAGAGAGGAATTTAGTCAAGTGGAGTCGGCCTTTCCTTGCAGATGATTGTCGGTTGTCATTGATTATGGATCCTCAACTTAAAAGCCGGTTTCCTTCCAAAGCAGTGAGGACAGTATCTGGCATTGCTCTGAGGTGCCTTCAAAACGAACCATCAGAAAGACCCACCATGAGAACTGTGGTTGAGCATCTCAGAAAAATACAGGATATGAAGCACTCTTGTCGGTTTCCATTGCAAGAGCCAGCAGCAATTTCCAGAAAACAGATGTCAAGGTCACCAAGTCTTAATGGAGTTGTTAATCCTGCATCTAGATTGAGCTTCTCACCATCACCGCCTTCGGCAGCCGGGCCATCGATTTCACCTCCAAGATGGTCTGGTGTGCCCCTCTTGCTTCCTCCCCGTGCTTGTTCCTCTACCCTTTCATTGGAGGAGCTTGATCGGCAAGAATCCCGGAAGTCATCATCCACTGTCTCCAGGAGGGCCAGTGTTGAAGGATTTTGATTGTCCATAATGCTCATTTCTTTATTTTATTTATTTGTTCTTTTTTGGGCACCTCCCACTTTTTCATCCCTCAGGGGAAGTTCTTTTGTAGATAGTTCGAAGGTTGATCTGACTCGCCGGGTTAAATTAGTTCCCTCGTACATATACGAATTCTCATGTTGTCGCACATTCTGCTTGTTCCCTTGGCCTACTCTTTAGTGCGATGCAGAACTTGACATGATAGAAACATTGCGGATTGTTAATAGGGAAGGTCAAAGTTGAGAACGAGTTCTTTCAACCTCTTTGCCTCTGGTTTACAGCAGGAAACAGAGACTTCAGCATCTAAGAGACAGTTCAAAAGCGATACAGATTTCTTAGCAAGTAAAAGCATATGTATCGTTACATATGATATATCATACACTATAATGCCTAGCTATAGATAATTGTATAGGCCTACAAGGTATGATGTGATGTAATACATCAAATATTACAATGACGAATGTTTACATTTTAGGATGCTTGTTTTGAATGTATTTAGATTTAGATTAGATATGTATCATTATGTATGTATTTTAATAAACCAATACACGAAACAATACATAATAAGCAAATATTTCAAAAGTAAAATAAAATAAATTCTGTAGCAACAAACTAAGATAGTTGAGTTTTTAATAAGTTCTTCAGTCATTTTTAAAATATTTTGAAAATAAAAAATAATGATTATATTAAGTACCACACATATAATATACGATAAAATATTTATATGTATCTTATGCTATTTCATTAATTTTTCTGTTAACAATTTTATGGATAATTTTCACCGATTACTGCTGCAAGTCGACACTACGTCGGTCACGTGGGGGCCCAGTGACTAGGGAGTGAAACTGCTCCTGCTCCTTATCTAACTCGGGTACAGGTTTAGGCTTCCAAACGGGGAAGGAAGGGGAAGCTCTGGTGGTTCCGACATGAATTCAGTCATGGCGGAAAGTGCGACCGTCATGCTCTCTTCATTTTCCACCATCTTCAGTGGGTCCTCCGCATTTCCATCCTACCCACGCTCTTCTAAGCTCTCCTTTCTTCCTATGCGCCATTTCCGGGGGACGCCCTCTGCTCCGACATTTTTCAGTCAGTCTTCAATTCTTCCTCTTGCATATTTTCCGAAATCTACCATTCAGTTTTGTGTGCCCGGGGCTCCTTGCACTGAAGTGTTCCTTTGTTCTTTCAGGGATTTACGCCTTATCAAGCAACGACATCAAAGTGGGTACTAACATTGAAGTTGACGGTGCTCCTTGGCGCGTGTTAGGTATCATTTCTATATGCTATTTTTTACTTTTCAATTTTCTCTTTCTTAGGTAGACTATCCATTCTGTGTTCTTATATCGATTAAGTCCACGTACTTTTGAGGATGGGTTTAGGATTCCAAGCTTTGCAGCTGAGTGTAAAGTATATTTTTATTCTGGTGTTTTTTTTTTTTGGTGTGGGGACTCAGAAAATGGGTGGGAGATTTTCTCTGACATAAGTTGACATCGGCCTTAATGCTGCAAGTGAGGAGAAAAAAGAACAAGTTCATCTTTATACTTGTGAGTTGTAATGTGACTAGGATGTAAATATGATAAAATATTATCTCGACTTTGAGAGCCTGAAGGATGGCCCTCTTGTTGCCTACGTGTTTATCTAGATTGAAAATGTGTCTATCTGCCTTTGAGAGCCTATCTAGATTGAAAATGTGTCTATCTGCCTTTATACTTGTGAGTTGTAATGTGACTAGGATGTAAATATGATAAAATATTATCTCGACTTTGAGAGCCTGAAGGATGGCCCTCTTGTTGCCTACGTGTTTATCTAGATTGAAAATGTGTCTATCTGCCTTTGAGAGCCTATCTAGATTGAAAATGTGTCTATCTGCCTTTATACTTGTGAGTTGTAATGTGACTAGGATGTAAATATGATAAAATATTATCTCGACTTTGAGAGCCTGAAGGATGGCCCTCTTGTTGCCTACGTGTTTATCTAGATTGAAAATGTGTCTATCTAGATTGACATAAGTTGACATCGGCCTTAATGCTGCAAGTGAGGAGAAAAAGAACAAGTTCATCTTTATACTTGTGAGTTGTAATGTGACTAGGATGTAAATATGATAAAATATTATCTCGACTTTGAGAGCCTGAAGGATGGCCCTCTTGTTGCCTACGTGTTTATCTAGATTGAAAATGTGTCTATCTGCATATGTTGAATGGGAAGAAGAATGGGTTTCTTTTCCCTCTTCTCTCCCTCTTCCCATTTTTAATTGTGTCTCTTTCATGGTCCAAAACAAAAGGCTTTTCCGGGTCTATTTTCCTCTTTTTCTTTTAATTGATCATGGAGGAGCAGGGGGAAATGTTCAGCCTAGCTGCGTTGGATCCCGTCCATTCCTTGTCCAGTGTCTGTCACGTGTTATCTCATATCTGATGCACAGAAGAATAAAACAATGACTTTCTGTTGAAGGTGCTGACGAGTGATAAGCTGTACATTACCTCGGAGTTATCCATTGTGACATGCTTCGTAGCCATGCTGCTTATATTTAAATATCACAGATAATTGTCCTGAGAGACATATCATTGGATCTCATAACTTCCCTTGTATATTGGCTTGTGTTAGAGTTTCTTCACGTCAAACCTGGTAAAGGAGCAGCTTTTGTGAGGACCAAAATGCGAAATTATATTACTGGAAACACTGTGGAGAAAACTTTTCGAGCTGGAAGTTCGGTAATGTCTCTTGAACTGCAAAAGTTTGTATCACTACTTTTCTTGAGATGACAGTTTGTAGATTCAATTGAGGAAGAAAGATTGCTTGGGAAAAACCTTGAAAAACATAGCTATACTTGTGGCCTTTTTAATTCGAGCAGAAGATTTTTGCCTCAATTCAACACAATGACTAAGTGACTAAATGACTGGGAATGGGGAGGTTAAAGCTCAGGTACCTCTTGGAAAGCTAATTGCTTTGATTTGATATTCATTTGGCTTTATATGTCAGTGCTTTGCATTGTGAGATTTGGTAGCAGATGGTTAAAAGGACTGACTGAAGGTCCTCTCAACCTCCCTAGATTGTCATCCCATCATATATGTTTCATTCTTTATACCAGTAAAAAAATAATGGGACATTTTTTGAGCTGCTAAGTGAATAAACTAATTTATTAGTGATATGACCGACAAGGAGTCAAATGATGAAGCTATGTGGTACAATTATATGTATTACAAGGATGTTCACAGGCGCTCTCTTCCCCTGTGGGTTTTCTTGGTCTGTCTCCTGAACAGTATTATTGCATGAGATGAGAGTCATGGATAAGATAGAATGCATGTTCATCAAGTGTCACATTTGACCTTGTTATATAAGGGTACCTAAATTTAGCCTTTTGAAGGCCACTAATTTAATTTTTAAGTGCCCGCCTATGCTAAAATATCTTGTACTTGATCGAGCTTCAGAGCCCTAAGGTAAACCATTCTTTATTATTCTGCAATTTCCACTTCCCTACTTATCGCAAGACATGAAGTTTCATTCAGCAGCATTGACAATTCATTCTAAATTTCCATTGTCATTGAAATACTAAATATCCATTGTATGTTCATTCAGTTATATTATAAGAGTCATCTCTCTTTCCTCCTCATTATTACCTCTAATTCTAGATTGAAGTTTACATTCTCTCTCTCTCACATTTTTCTCGTTGTGACAGCTTGATGAAGCAGATGTATTCAAGGAAACAAAACAGTTCACATATAAAGACGGTTCCCAATTTGTCTTCATGGACTTGGTATTATCTGGAATCCATATAGTCTAATTCTAGGTATCTAGATTTTCTTTTTGGCTTTCAATATTGCCATTGCCTTTGATGAAGAATTATCACATAGGTTTTTATTCTTTCCAAGAATGCTATCACTTTTTCATCCATGTTCTGTGTCTAATTTGCGATGTATTAATTTTTATAGAATACATTTGAGGAGATTCGTCTTTTAGAATCAGAAGTTGGAGACAGGAAGAAATGGCTGAAAGAGGGAATGGACTGCAATTTGCTGTTATGGAATGGAAAAGTAATTCATTTCGTCTCATTAACTACTCTTGTCTTTTACTGAGACTGACTCTACTCTAGCTTCTCTTTTTTAATGAAAAACTTGACCAATATCAAATGTTCTAGAGAGTAGAGACAAATAATCTCAGTCACTGGAAATTACTTGATAATATATTATTGAATTGATCAATATAAATAAGTGGCCAAAAACATATGGAAATTAATTTTTTTCTGCCAGGTTCATGCGTAGTAGTTCATGTGTATTCAAGATTATTTGTGCATCAAATTAAATCCTTCCTTATGCGTAGATTTTACAATGGCTTTTTTCTTGTCAGTGTTACTAATACAGATGAGCAAGAAAAATGCTGTCACTGCCATAACTCTTGTTAGTAAAATGACTTCTGATATTGCAGGTTATTGATCTTGAACTCCCTATCACAGTAAAACTCTCAGTAGTTGATGTGGATCCAGGACTTAAGGGTGACACTGCCCAAGGTGATGCCATTTTGTTTACATTACGAACTCCTATTTATTTAATTTCTATTGTAGATGCTATGAACGCCGGATATAATACGTGGAGATGCGCCAGTTCAGTGTGAACCAGACGCCAAATCATTTGCTAAGCAAAATCGCAGATGATTTCTCATTTGATGATCACTGATCATTAACAGAAAGAAAAAACTAGTATTTGTGAATTGTGACGTCCTATGATGATGTGCTCTTTTTTCTTAGATTTCTTTCTGAGACTAAATAAATTCATTAGTTTACATGGTTTAATTACAGAACATAGAGGAGGATGCTGTGGAAACCTTAACCCTGAGGTCCATTTTTTCTTTTATAAAATGTGCTTTGAGATCTCGGAGAACACATAATTATGAAAAGCTTCCCCTTGAGATTTAAAGCTTTCTATAGCATCATCCAAAACTATAAAACACTTATGAATAAACAATTAAGAATATCAGGCACATTTTACAACGGGATTAACCATCAATATGCTTATGTGTTTATTCATGATTTCCTCAAGGGTGATTATTTTTTGTAAACTCAATATATTGAAGAATCTCTGTACGGGACTAGGACTAACCCTCCTGAAATGAATTTGATTGACAGGTGGATCAAAGCCTGCAACTCTTGACACCGGCGCTGTTGTGAACGTCCCGCTCTTCGTAAACATGGGTGATGAAATATTGGTGGACACAAGAACTGGACAGTACATGAGTCGTGCTTAAGTTTTCTCCTTAAATTTTGTAGTTCACCTCCAACGATACGTCTTTCTTGAATACCAAGGTCTGATTTTTGCAGCTTATGTATATTAAGCTTCGCAAATTGGCATGCACATTCGCCGCATCATCGAGACGCGATTGATTGCATTAATTTGTTACTGAGATGTAGGTCAGAAACCTCTTTTTGAGGCTAGTAGCTTATGAATTTGTAAACCATGATCACGTTGATCCCATTGAACTTTGCTTCCCCGTTTGGGGACCTAAAAGAAGAGCAGAACAAAGTAAAATCCTCGAGTATTATACATGGCATGACCGTTTGGTGCGTAGAATTTAATTAGCTAATATGAGATTTATGTCGAAGAAGATGAATTAAATCTGACCTTGCAGATCTTGGCCGTGCACGATCAATACGAGGATGTTAAAATTGAAGTTGAACATATGTGCATAACGTAGCAATTTGTGAATAACAAGATATTGTATGTATGGCCGAATGACATTATTTACTCTTCCTGGGTTATAAGTAAAGTAATAGGGTAATGTTTAAGGAGAGATATCAGAAGCGCATAGAAGTGCTGAAAGTCTTGCAAGACAAAGGATGCTGAGGATGGGGACGGGGGTCTGGGTTTCTGTTCCTTCGAAGAATGGGCTTGAACAGCTTGTTGAGGAGCTTGTGGAAGGCGGCAGCGCCACGTCGACGGCGGTGACGGCATCCCTGGTTGACCTGATGAGTGAGGAGAGGGTGGAGGGCGGGGAGGCGGGAGAGGCCAGGCTCGGACATGCTTCGGCCGAGCATGGCTCGGTTGAGGTGAGCCTCGAAGGACATGCGCTCAAACTGGTCCAACAGATTGCTCTGTTCATCTCCGAACCTCCTGCGAATCTCTGCCGATGTCTCCATTGTTGAATGTGATGGCGCCAATGCCATTGTAGGCTTTTTAAGGATCTGCCAGGAGTGCTTCATCAAGCAAAGTATCATTGGGAAACTAAAAAGCCTCCTCAACATTCAACTGTCCACCCCACTCCTGCTTTACCACCGTTAATACTATCTCCTCTTTTTACTCCTATTCCTATTGAAAACCATCATCACCATCATCAATATTTTTAAAAACTAGAACCATCCTTAAAGTGACCGATTCCAATCCTTCCTGATACTAGTTCATATTTTTGTTTCCCAGCAAAACAAAATATAAAAAAATAAACTTAGGGAGTCTTAAAAAAGCTTAGTTATTTACATAAGAAGTACACAAATATGAATAACGAATAAATTGCATTGTTTCTTATTGCTTACAATTTATGAATTGAATACTATATGATTCATCTCAAATTTTGTATGAACTATGAATGCATGAAACTCACTTTGATTGGAAACTTCATAATTTGTGCTTTCTAATGCATTAGGATAATGGTATGGCTCTTGGTAGTCATTAAACTCTCGTGTCGTGTGTAGACTTTAATAAATATGTTTGGATGGGTAAATTTATATTTGAATCTTAGATTTAAAATTTTATGTTTAAGATTTCATTTTCTAATTTTATATATTTAAAATATTTTGTTTGAGTAGTATAAAAAAATTTAAATTGTAATATTTTGTTGAGCACAAAATAGTTAGCAAGAGAAAAATTGAGTTTTGTAGGGTTCAAATAGCTTTCGAGCATGGAGATCAAATTGTTCATGAATTTATAATTTAAGATTCGAATTATATATTAACTTTATAATTTATTTGAATTTGGAAAATTCAGATCCAAATCCTGAGATTAAACATATGAAATCCTTGAAATGTAAGATAAGATACTTTATTCTGGGTTCTACTTCAAACAAATCATGTTTCATTCCTCCACATGGTTCTCTTTTAAGGAAGCTTACGTGCCACAAAATTTGCAGACAATTACATTTTTACGAAGATATGCATTAAAGATTGATTCTTTCGCTAAAAACAAAAGATTTCAATTTTTTTTTGGCCAAAACAGTCAAATTCACTAATTAAAAAGTAAAAGTTATACAATTACACACTAATATGAATATCAATCCAAACGAAAAATAAAGCCGTATTTTTACTATCTACAGCTCTATTATCAAAACAATACAAGCTGCGGCCCAATTTTGCAACAAAGAGTCCCAAGAAGGAATGCCTGATAGAGGTTTGCAGTTTTATTATCAAGCCTAGAGACTTGAGAAAGAAGATACACTCTCTAGGGACCTAATAATGCTGAAAGCATTTTCAACTAGGCAAGTAGCACCTTGCAAGACTATTGACGCTAGGACTGTGCAAAAAAAACCCAGACCCAATCAGTCTGGTCCGAATCAACATGACTCGGTCCAAAAAATTCAACTCAAAAGAAAGACTAACTGATCGAATCATACTACACTTTTGGCTCAGACCAAACTAGAGACTAATGTTTGGAAGCAATTAGTCTGGCCTAGTACAGGTTATTATTTTCATAATATTAAATAATAAATAATTAATATTATTTATAAATAAAAAATATAATTGATTAATTTCTCAAACTCATATCACTCTCACCTCTCAAATTCGATCTCTCGGCTCTCCATTTTGCTTGCCTTAGCTGCTTTCACTCGTCTCTTTGTCTCTCCTTGTTGGTCATCACACTCCATCTGTCCTCATTCGCTCTAGGAATTGCTGGAACTCAGCCTTCTTCATCATGCATTCTCTTCTTCTCCAGCGACAGCATCGACAACTCTTTAATATTTTCTAGTTTTTCTTCTTTAGTGATGTCCGCAGCGATAGCGATGGTACTTTGTCTCTAGCATGCTTCTGTTATGTTATTGTTTCTTGTTTTTGGTTTTGCTTGCTTTGGTCAAAGTATTCAAAATCTCTCTTCTTGTGATCCCTGCTTGAAACTTATTTCTTGTGCTTCACTTGAACTTAGCATTCTCTTCTTTTAGCTCGCACTTGTGCTTCTTAGATTAGATACTTGTGTTTGTGGTTTCTTTTCCATTTTCGCATGCCCGTGCTTGTGCTTCTTCGATTCTTTGTTTCCATAATTCCATTATAATTAATAAATATGCTTATGTACATGTAAATTGAGGTTGATTCACAAATTTACTTCAGCTTTATATATTTTAATCATTTATTAAAAAGATTTTATAAGTTAACATTGTGAGTTTCTTTACTTTGATAATCTTTGTTTACTTGATCGGTGAAGTAGAAGGATTGATTTGGGTCTATTTGTGATTGTATATATATTTAGGAAATGTAATTTTTTATTTTATCTTGTTTTTCATGTTATAGAAATGGTGGGCGAAGTCTTTACATCTGCTAGTATTAATCAACCCTTGCCTACACAATTAATGGGTTCTAGTCAAAATGAAATATTACCTCCTACTGTACCAACTCTCTTCCTCCTATTGCTATTGATCTTTCCTCTAACATTGCACAAGATTGTGGTATAAAGAATGTGAGTAGAAAGAGAAAAGAGCTTGAGAAGAAATGTAAACAATCACAAATTTGGAAGTATTTTATGAAGTTACCTTTAGAAGAAACAAATGGAGAGGTTAGAGCTTCTTACAAACAATGCCATGAAATTTATGCTTGTGACCCAAACAAGAACAGGACAAAATTATTGAAAAGGCACTTTTCAAAACGTCTTAAAAACCCCACAGAAGGCTACCACAATACTGAAGGAATCAATGTTGAACTACATGGTGCCAAGTGGGCAAGGAGGGGGCTTAGTCTCTCATGTTTTCAACCAAAAATGATGTAGAAGGGCACTGGCTAAATTTGTTATTTGTGATGAGATGCCATTCAAGATAGTTGAGAAATATGGGTTTAGAAACTTTGTGAGAGAGCTAGAACCAAGATTTCAATTCCCTTTGTGAACAACAGTTGTTAGAGATTGTTGGCAATTATACCTTAGAGAAGATATTGAAGCAAGTGTTGAAGAAGTTTGCAAATTGTGTTTGCTTGACAACTGATTGCTGGACATCTACTCAAAAATTTAATTACTTGTGCCTAACTTGTCATTTCATTAATCCTGAGTGGAAGTTGCATAAGAGGATATTGAATTTCTATATGATTGAGAATCATAAGGGTGACACAATTGGCAAAACAATTGAGAAGTGCTTATTAGAATGGGGAATTGAGAAGGTGTTTACCATAGCAATGGACAACGCATCATCTGATGATACCATTTTGTCATATCTGAAAAGAAGGCTTAGGAATTGTAAGGGCATGGTTTGCAGGGGTGATTACCTTTAATTGAGATGTTCTGCATATATTCTTAACTTAGTGGTTAATGATGGTTGAAGGAGTTAAAGAATAGCTTTAATGCAATTTATAATGCAATTAAATATGTTCGTTCTTCTCTGGCTCATCTCTAAAAGTTTAAAAATGTTGCTAAATTGGAGAAGTTGGACACTACTAGCCTCGTTTGCCTTAGTATCAATACTCGATGAAATTCAACTTACTTGATGTTGGAATCTACTTTGAAGTTTCAAAAGTCTTTTGAACAGTTAAAAATTAAAGATGAAGATTATATGGCGTAATTCATTGGAGGTGTTAATCGTGAAGGCCCTCTAAAAGCTAGTGATTGGAATAAGGCTGAGTCTTTCTTAAATTCTTGAAGGTATTCTATGGCATAACTTCGATGTTTTCAAGTTCATTGAATTAACTTCTAATACTTGTTTCCATAAAATTTCTCTTATTCATGAGTTGTTGGAAGAGAACATTTGTGAATGTTAATCCTTTGCTTATAGAAATGTCCCAAAGTATGAGAAGCAAATACAAAAAACATTGGGGGTCAAATAAAGACTATAAATCCTTTGCTCATTGTAGCCGTGATTTTGGATCCTCGATATAAGCTTGCTTATGTGAATCATATATTTGAGCAGATTTTTCCTAATCTTGAAGTTTGCATGGCCATGAAAATTTATATCAAATATGTCTTGTGCTCTATGTTTGATGAGTATTCTAAAGTACTAGAGACTAGTACCCCAAGCAATACTTCTTCTTCTATAATTCTAGGATCATCAATGTAATGTCCACCTTGACATTACCAAAATTTACCACACAATCACAACAACCAATCATAATTAGGAGCAAGGATTTACTCCTAATCTAACATTATATATAAAAGGGTTAAAACTAATAATCTTTTAAAATAATTGTGGAATAATTGGGATCCCATAAAAACTCTTTAAATTGATAGTTTAAGCTCAAACTTAATGATTTAAATAAGTATTAGAAGCATGGAAAGGTTTTGAGAATCAAACCACTTCAAAACAGGGCCAAAAATGTCATTTTTAAGTTTTTTGATCCGTGCGCCGCGGCTCG